CTTTGACTTTTAAATTCGATTTCGAAGGTACTTTTTGTTAGCTTATCGAAACTCGTATAAAGTCCTCATGATAAATTGCTTTCTATGTTAAGTAAACCGAAGCAGTAGGATACAAAAGAAGTTTTATTGAAATATAGAGCACTCTATCACTGTGTGGTTCCACGTTGATTGTAGAATTAAAGTTTATTTTCGCTTGACTTTTCTCATAATTTATGGTTTTTGTTAAATTTTCAGTAGACTTTACATAAAGTTAAATCAACCTATTTATCGAATAATCAATGAATTTATTAAACGTGAAGGTATTCATACACTTGACTTAACAAAAAGAATCATCTCAGAAAGTTACCTGAAAATTTTGGTCGGTTAAAGTCATGAAAACGACTCGATTTATTCGATAATCATATTACAAATTTACCACTTTCTTTTTGTGAAATAACAAAATTAGAAGTACCAGCAGTGTCACAATTGATGTACGAACATCTAAGAAAATGGCGAAACTGGCTAGAACTAAATTATTAAATTTTGTCGATGTTCCTGTCTCAGGCAGTTAGTAATATACATATATATATATTGCTGCAATGTTTTGATTAATCTTTAAGTATTATAGGTACTATCGGTGCTCAAAAAGGTACATTGACATTTATGGTTGCTGGTCAACCAAATGATTTAATAGCTGTGGAACCTATTCTTGGTAAAATGGGCAAAAGTATTGTCCATGCTGGTGCAAATGGCAGTGGTTTAGCGGCTAAAATTTTCAACAATCTTCTCGCAGTTATTAGGTCAGAAGCGTAAAAGAATCATAAATTCTACACTGCTTTATGGTTTAGACATTATTCTTAAATCATATGTTCTGAGTTTGAATGCATTACAAATAAGTGATGAAATGCGAAGAAGTGTTATTATGGATCAAACAGACTATCAAAAAACTAAACAACTAGATAAAATGATAAACTCGCAATTCTAAAGCAGAGGAATTGAGAAGTGACGACAAATAACTTTGATTCGTATAGAGATAATGCAGTTTGGGAAGCTCTTTCTCTGTCATATCCTAATTTATATCATCCATTGCGAGTTCTGAGGAAATGTATGGTACTACTGGTATTTTACTTGTTATAAAAATTTTGAAGAAACCCTATGATAAGAATTCTTAGCATTATACTACTAGATGTTCAAAAAAAAATATTGTCTATCTAATTTTATAATCTGTTATCGATCAGTAAAAAATTGTCATAAAAAATTTGAATTGTATTCGAAAAAAATACTCACAAGAAAACTACCCGAACTGTAACTTGCCGTTTGAGTTCATATCGAGTCTACAAAACAGTGTCAGTAAGACTAGAAAAACCTAAAAAAAATTCGTGTTCATGGTCCTCTGGAGTCAAAGTATTACCATTCTGCTGAATTTTCGACCCACTTCTAGTTATTCACTTGAAAATCAAATAATAGAATTTCGACTTGAAATTCAACCTATTGCTAGGTCTAGTGACCCTTAAAATATTGAATTCCTAAGTAAACTCGATTTTTGTGACATGTTTGTGACTACCGACTAATTTCATTTTACGATAAATAGCTAAAAATGGATCGAAAGTTCAGTAAAACAGTCATAACTTGACTTCTAGATGCTCATGAGCACGAACTCTTTCAGATTTTTCCTAATCTTACTGACACTTCCTTGTGGCCTCAATATGACCTCAAGTCAGAAAATGACAGTTCGTGTAGCTCCCTTGCCAGAGAAAAATATTGCCTCTTCATTCTGTTAGTCCCTATAGCAATTCTTGCAAAGCTTACGACTTATACGGAATACTTCAAAATTTATTAGAAATATAGATATAAATATGTATCTTAAAACTTTTTTTTTTCATTAAAGGATTTATGATGGGTCTTAGATCAACTTTCTCATGATGAAATAATTTTCAACCGAATTCTAAGTATGATTGGCACTTCAGAAGCGATGAATCTCGGTATTAAGCAAGCGTTTTTTTATTTTTATCTTTCTAGTTCTAAACAATCTAACGTTCTTTTTTATAAGACTTGGCCTCAATAAAGTTGTATTAGCCAAACTGATAAATTCTTCAAGTGATCAATTTTGGTCAAGTCAAACATATAATCCGTGTCCGGGCGTTGTTGTCAACGTGCCATCTAGTAACGACTACAATGATGGTTTTGCTAGTGAACTGATGAATAAAGATCTATTACTTGCTCTTGGTAAATGATTTTCTTTTTTTTCTTATTACTAATTCTCATGCTTTGTTTTCTAGATGCTGCAAAACAAGCTAAAGCTTCAATTCCATTAACAAAAAAAGCTACTGAAATCTATAATCAACTTTGCTCAAATGGACTGCATAAAAGAAATTTCAGTGTTACCTTTAAATATCTCAATGAACAATGAGCAACTCATGCATTTTTTTTCGTTGTTGTATGCTTAGTTTTCTTTCAAAAAATAAATACACAAAAAAGACGAAAACAACAAAAAAGAGAAACGAAAAGAAATGAAGAATGATGCAATAGATAGGATAGATACACTTGCATAAATGAAAGCAAAAATGAACATAGAACCGATAGTGAAGGATAAACAAACAGAAAAACATTGCTTTATTGTTTTTTTCATGTTATTATTATTGTTATGAGTGTGGGTGTAAAGAGAAATCAATACACACCCAACAGTACAGCATTATAGACATATATCCTAAACTATCATTCATTTTTTCTATCATTTCATCATACTCTTTAAAGTTTCTGAGATAAAAATATAAAACAATTCAATACACTGAATTTGAATTGTTTCAGCAAATTATTTCATAATTTTTTTTATTTGAACACCGAGTGCGATAAACGTTTTGCGACATTTCTTGTTTTGCATGTATCTCTGTTCAAGTGCATGACGAAATGTTGACTCTTTTTTTCAAAACATGCGCCGCCGAAGCCTCTGTCAAACTTCTATTTATCTTAATTTAGAACAATAGAAGTGAACATTTGTATTGGTCATATAGTGTAATTATGTGAATCGAGCTTACTTTTCACTTATTATTTTCTGTTGTTCCAACGATCTTTTGAAGTTAGAAACAGAAACGAAAGAGACTTTCTATTTGTAATTTGAGTGTATATCAAATGCTCTTTCAGAATTATTTGTAAGTGTTTGATCACAATCCATATTTGTCTAAAAACCATGGCCTGTCCGATCTGCTACGACTAAAACGGCATTATTAACACTGTTTAGATTCTTCTTCCAGCTGAATTCTTTTTCCACACGTTACTAGGACTTCCTATAGACAAAGAAATCAGTTTTCTGCAAAATGCTGCAAAACTAGGAACGGTTTGATCATACGTGACATTTCTAGAATGCTTTCTTTGAAAACGCGTAACCAAACATGAAAATCGCGCTATTTTCAAAATATGATCAGGTGGCTAACCGAAAGAAAGAGCTTTTAAAAGCTTCGTATATATAAATAATCGATGGAGGATTTCAAGAGATATCTACCAGTAAATCATAGTCTAAGAACTAAATATTCACTTTCACGAAAAGAATAAATGACTAAGAAATGTGTGGGAAGTAGGCTTGATTCACATGATTGCACTATGCGACCTATACAAATATTTACTTCTATTGTTCTAAATTAAGATAAATGAAAGGTTGTAGAGAATTCGACGTCGCATCTGTTGAAAAAAAAATAAACATTTTGTCATGCTGCTAAACAGAGATACATGCAAAACAAAAAAATGTCGCAAAACTTTTGTCACACCCAGTATATGTAAATCAAATTTGTTATTATAGATTCTTATGTTTTAATCTTATGGCTAAAATATCAAATTAGTACATTCTCTAGTCTATTGCATGAAGTAGATGTTAAAGGAAGACGGAAAAAATACACTAATGTATTGTTGAACAGACGCAACTATTTAAAAACGTCTTTTTTATGACCAGGGGTGCATTAGCAAATAGTTGAACTTCTCAATTATATGTTTTATTGAGAGATAGATGGGAGGGTGGCTGTAGATGTGCATGGCGATTGGGTGTGAGAGTCTCGTCTCCCACCACATCCCTACATGATATCTGCCCTTATCCCATATTTACTCCTTTATGAACTCAAGCATGATGGTTGTAGAGGAATTCGGCTTGAAAATAGGCATAGCTAATGTTAATAGATCCTAAAAATCTCAGAACCAACGAGTGCTATTGGTCGAACGATGAAAAGGGTTGTGCATGGGAGGATGTGAGTGCGACTGGGTGGAGAGAGTCTTTTTTACCCCAATACCTCACACCCATACTCACACCGTTCATTTTCTTAACTGCTACAGAATACATCGTATAGATTTTCTAAAAAGCGATAGTTCTGTTCCACGTGAGATCGATTTTCAGCAAACGCTATTTTTTTATTTCTAAATTTCTAAGAAAAATATTGTTTTCTTTTTGAAGGGCTCCCTATTTCTCATTTTCATACTTTTTTAAATGTATTAATGTCAATTGTTATATGTATTGAATGAAATGACAGATAAACTCGTTGTTAATATTTATTATTTAATGTCGGTGGTTCAGATATGTAATAGAAGAAGAGAGCCGGAAAACTTACTCTCGAAACTTACATATACTATTTTCTTCAAAAACATATTTGAGTTGCACAAAACTAAAATAGTGAAATATATACTTTCATATACATCACTTAACTGTGCATTCGATGTACACATAATGACCTTGTTAAAGTTATTTACATATTGGTAGCGTTATTGAAATCTTTTTCTAGTTAGTAAAAGTTGTTAGTTTCATTCTTGTATCATTAATAGGTGAAATACAATCGAACTATCGTTCTTCATGCTGTGGAATTTCTTTTATTTGATCTATTGTGAAATGCATTGCTTCATCGTCGTTAATCTCATACTCTAGAGAGAGGCGGGGGTAGCAGGAGCAATTCTTGCAATTAATATGGATTTAAGTGTTGAGCGCCCTTTCTCAGACATATCTCGGACACAACCAAACTCAGAACGCAAAACCAACCATCTAATGACACGAAGGATGAACCGAAAGATTTTCTCCAAACAAAAAACTTTGAAATATCTGAATTTTATTAATAGTATCTATACAAATCAATGACATTCATAAAAATCACAGAGGCGTTTATAGCCTATTCATGATTTCAACAATGGATGAACTAGATCATATATATATAGCTCAGCAGAGTGCTTGAGGTCCAAGGAAAAGAGAGCGTTACATATACAGTTTCCTAAATTAGAAAGAAAAACGTCAGACCCAACGCTCGCATTGCCTTTTCTTTAAATACGCAACTAAATTAGAGACAGCTATAAAAAAATGGAATTTTTTTTTCTTTTTATAAAGTCATTGGTCATTTCGAAGAGAACGAAACTCTTTTCCTTCGTATTATGCATTTCATTTCTCACATCAACACAGTCCTATCAGTATCCATATTACTAATTTATGCTCAGTCATGCTGAGAAAACCAAGTTCTTTTTTTATTGGATTAAGCCAATGAAATAAAATATTCAAATCAATGATTAAGTTGCAAGTGAATTTTACAGTGAGCATAAAAATTGTTCGTTCATGTAAATAGACTTGAATTTATTTTCTGAATTTTCACTTAAGAAATCTGTGAAGTATAGACAGTGAGCACAATTGAAAGGCCACATGCTACCAGAATGTGAAGAATAAAGAGAAATGTTTTGAATCGCTCCTTAAATATATTTCCTGACGACGGTCGGGCATTGATGGGCATAAGCTGACCACCATCATGAAGAGAATTTGTTTGCATTGGCTGAACTAGATTTATTGTATCAAAGCGTGACCAATACTTGCGGTAGAAAATTTCGAGACATTCGATACCTATCCATATAACAAATTCCATCGACCACCATACTACAAGAATTCGCCATGGCTTCATCTTTACAGAATCATATCTAGATAAGAGAGTAGCAAGAAGAATAGTTGCACTTGAGAGAATCAATGTACTAATTCCAACAATGCGATGCACATAGTTGAAAATAAATCGCCGTGGATGATCAGGACGGCATCGAAATATGGTCATTATGGATTGGAGAGTAGCGGTCGAAACAACAATCAAACCCATAATTGAATGAGCAAATTCACGTGATAGGCTTTGAGAAGTCCATACACCTCGTTTATAAATGAGAATGAGTACGAATGAAACCAATGTCATTACTACAGCAAAATTCATAACTATTTGATGCATAATATACCATACAGGTATAGCGCAAAGTTTTAACTTGGACCAAGATTGTCTAAAATATCGAGCTAGAAGAATACCTGCTGGAACAAATAACATCCAAAGAAATAGCATAATAATACCATGAGCTCGCAAAAGAATTGTTTTATTGTTGGTTGATCCTTGAGTGTTATTCGTCATTATTGTTTCTGATTGATTAAGTTGAATCATTTGAGTTAGAACGTTTGCCGTGAAATGTTGTATTAATGAGTCTATTATGTTAATAATGGACAACAATTGAATCGATTCATCATTATAAAAGTATCTTACTTGAACTATCTAAATTTCCTATGGCCGTGAGAATTTGGTATTGTTTATTTTGTGAAAGTAAAGAAATGCTCCGTTTTGTTCGTCGATCCAAAGTATTAGTGAAATTAGACAGAGTAAATTCACAATAGATGACGCCATTGTTCTGAGCTACTCGGCTTACTTGAAATATTCCACCATAATTTGAAGCAGCAGTAACTAAAACTGGAGGTGAATAACCATCGAGATTGACAAAACGTTGTACGTGAATAGTGTCATCACTCAAGCGTTCACAAGCAAATACATGATCATCGCCCTACATGAAAAACAAAACCAATCGAACAAAAAATGAAACAAAAAAAAATCCTATTGTTCTGTACCATGAGATCGTCAATCGACAAGCCGATGGCGAGCCATTGAGATTTTTTTAGACTGTTGGTAAGTATTCCAATAGTTATTATTCCATCAATGTATGTCCAATTGAGATTTAGTGTTGGATCGATCACTTGGGAATTGATTGTAGAGGTAGAAACCACCGGTAGACTAGTCACGTGTATATTGGTTGAAGTAAAAGAATCGACTGATGGACTAGTCTCTGGTGGATCAACGGCACCAGTGGATTCCAAGGACGTTATTATAGTCTGTTAAACAATGACACATACATTTTAGAGAAAAAAAAACGTGGAAATAATATCGAAATCCTACATCGGTTGATTGTGAAACATTAGTGGTAGTTGCAAATGAGCTGACAGATAAGCTTGTCGGTGTAGTCTAAAGGAAGAATTGTAAATTGAGTAAGAGAAGAGAATCTTTAGTTGATTGAATAGCTTACAAGTTGAGGAGTCAGTGTAATATTAAAACAATTTACGTAGAACTTTTTGTATGCTTGAACGATCGTTGCTCTAAAAATTTCTTAAAGTTAGGAAAGATTTTCTTTTCTAAAAAATTTCGTTTTCAGACATTTGAACAAACTCCGACAACTCCATCTTTTATTATTTGAGACTCAATATTAGCTCCGATTCCATGCCGTACATACATCAGAAATGTGAACCGTGCGCACGGTTCGTCCTCCATTCTATGTCAAGTAAGACTCAAATTTTGGACGGCCACTCTGTGTGACTTCTCTTTCTATAAGACGGTCGTGTGAATGTAGCAGTCAAAATTTCCTTAGTTCGAAACCAAAAGGTTAATTCAACTTTAATGGCATGCTACAATATTTGGGTCACTTCTCTGTTAAGCCAACAATAAAACACAAGACGACATCAATTGAGTGTTTATTCCTACGAAAATATTACAAATATCATTATTAAAGTCTACTGCTAGTGGCTTTTAATTGTAACGAAATTTTGATGTATAATAGATGTTCAAGACAATATCTTTACAATTTTCCTTCTGTCACTTCTGCCATTATATAGTAACTAGATATATTCATTGTTCACTTTGATTTTCTATTTCTCGGATGAATTTTATCATTCTATTTGGATACTAGGATTTTTCAATATATCTTATTTGACTTAATTTGTTGACAAACAAATCTATTGCCATCGCAATTATATAACATGTTGGTTACTCGATCATACTTAAGCATTCAGACTGAAAATTAAGAATGACTTCTTCATATTCAATTTATGTTTAATATATAAAATAATATTCTTCCAAGTATGCACATAGAAATGTTTGCTGGTATTTTTTTTACTTTATTTTAATATGGTTTCTTCTCTACTTTTTTCTTCATATTTGAATGAATAATATTGGACGAAACGTCATTTTTTATGATAAACAAAAGAACTCGTGCAACTTGATACCTAGAATCAATTCAAACATCTCTTCTATTAAATCTAGTAAGGATTAATGATCGCCAAGTGTTCACGATGGTTATCATAATGTGACCACTCTTATCTTGAAAAATCATATAGAATAATGTTTAAATTCAGTGACAGTCTGGCTCATTGAAAAGGTTTTTGGAATGATGACCAGTTTTGCTAGCATTTTACAGCAATAATAATTTTTTTCTACCGTTCTCTCCTCGTTTTGCAGGCGCGATGCACATCTCTGACACATATAGATAATATTTATCATGTAAATAAATCTTACTTTTGTTTACTATCTATCGATATTCTTCACGATGGTAAACCATGAACTTGATGAATGACTTTTTGAAAAGTTTCACTTCATATTAAACATTTTTATTTTCGTCAACAATGAAAACTTAGCTAATAACGATAACTTCAGTGTTGCTATCTCTCTTGTTCGTAGTAGAAAATTTCAATTCTTTTCCTGTCTTTTTGCTTTTCCAAATATCTTTTATAAAGTAAAACTTCTCTAACATAAACACTATCGGGTCCGGCGAATAGTACTCACTTTATGGAGATATCCATTATTGGGAGGTTTTGACTTTCTTGTATGCAACCTAAAAGTATTTAGTTGCAAGAGACGATCTGTTTCTTCTAGACAATAATTTGTTAAATAAAAAAGAAGATATATTTTCATGAAATAGCGATTTTCTCCTCAACAGATAACTGAATCAAGATAAATCAACACTTCTTGACACGATTTGATGTTATTGGTTGTTAACTCAAACGCGACAAGATGCTATTCGAAGTACTTTTATCTTTGAAAATAGTGTTTGTTTTTTGTTTTACATATGCACGGTTGGTCCATCCTCTTCTTAAACGCGTATCATGGCTGGTAATCATGATGCAATACATCCGTTGCTCACATGTATTAAGTGTGGATGTAGATAATTTATTTTTCATCTTGTTTCTTCAAATGCATAATAGTTTATAACTCAGCCGAATGACATGAGCAACACATATATTAATATGGAACTTCATATGAACAAGAAAATTTTAAGATTTACTGAGTCATGAAAAGTTAATTATAAACTCTATATGATAATGTTACTAATAATCATCGAAGATCTCCAAGTTTTCTTAGATCAAAGATGAATATTTAAACATTTCAGTGTCACAAAAATTATAATCGGATACACTTTTTTAATTGAATTCTATTCTATCGTTAAGTTTTCGTTATTCGCCAAAGTTTGTTTTCTTTTTGAAACGCTTGATACTGCTTCATTGCCATCAGCAAAATCATTTTTTATAATTAAATAAATGTCAAAACGATAAATTATGTCTTTTTCACACATAACCAATGAAATATGAATCTTACACTGCTAAAAAAAAACTAATCATCTCGTTTTAAAGAAATACTTTCATCAATGATGTATTTACCGCTCGTATGTAACGTAGTGTGAATTGAGATTTATAAACGATGTTAATAATGAAGTAATGAAAGCTGGAGCTCTTAGGATTTGATCGAGTGTGTCGGTAAGGAAATTTATTCTATTTTGGATTTATCAAAAAACAAACATCTGACGCGTTATTCGATATTGATTTTATTGATAAGTGCTGATCACAGAGAAAGAGAATAAGGGAGCGCGAAACTTACTCAATAACAATATTTCCTTGAGGTACATTGGATGGAGAAGACCAAGTTGCTTGAATTTGAGATTTATTGGTTGATGATGTTTGAGTAATACCATTTGAAAATGTACCGTTGCAAGGAATAACTTGAACTGATGAATCAGTCGTTGACCAACTACCCAGAATGTTTACACCGCTTGTATCTTTAGCAACCATAAGAATACCTGTGAAATAATTGGAGTTTGTCGCACCTTGAACAATAACTAAAAAACAACAACATGCGAATCGAGCAGACAATGATAGATTCAATTATTCACTTTGAATAGCGTCATTGCTGCTGTATTGATACTTGTTTGCTTGAATTACATAAATCGACTGGCATGACTGTGAGATGGTCTTTCCATGAATAGGCATCATTGATCCACAAGCGCTCGCTGGTGAACCTTTTGCATAACTGTGAACAATTCTTGCACATTCAAAAACAAGAAATATGAATAGATTAACGAGTGTCTTCATCTAAAAGTTCATATAGATATTATTAGGAATTTATCATTCTCAATCATGAAAGAATGAGTATGGGAAACGAAAATGCTCCTCGGTTTGTCTGGTATCCAATTGGTCGAGAAAATTCGATCAATAAGGTTTTAGTTGTGGGTGTCGAGCGATAGTAAGAGTAAGACTGTCGATAGGGATTTATTTGGATCGGATTGAGTGTAGACTTTCTCCCCATCCGCACCATTTCTGGATTGAGCTAAGCGAGGCACAGATAGTCATTTTCTTCGAAAATAAAACAATGAAGTTGTTTCTCTCTTTAAACTAACTAGATAAAGAGAAAAATATAAACCTTCGAGAAAAAAAAAGATTTGGTTATAAGAAGACATCAGCTAACTTCAGGAAATAAAATCTATAGGGAATGTTGAAGTGTGTAGGATGGTAATTTGGATCCCCCCCTCCCCACATTGATCGTGACCAACGGCTTCAGAGACTCTCATCGACCATGACCAATGCTGTTGATATATTATTTGGGATCGTATATCAATAAGGTTTTATCATAAACCACCTCTTTATCGCAGTAGTAGATGGCTAAATCAAATATTGAGAAGAAATGTATCCCGAAATAGATCAAATAAAATGATTTTTAGGTGATCAGAAACAACATCGATATTGTATTTGGCATGTTAATTCCACGAGGATTGTAGAAACAGCTTTCTTCATAGATTCCATAGCAATCAGACACAACAATCTGTAATATGCGTGTACTTGGCTGACCATTCATATCACTCTCGTGACTTTACTGAAGAGGCTTTTCTTTTATCACCTGGTCATATTTCTTAAGATCGCCTCTTTCTGTAGCAATGCACTGTTTATCTAAAATTTTTTGTATATTTTTATGTTTTTTTTCCAAAAGTAACGAAGATTGTGTATGAAAAGACTCACATACTCTGGGAAAATGTATCCTATGAATTGACATATGTATTGTTCGCTTTTCATGTTCATTGAGATGAAAAATTGTAACGCAATTTAGATTTAAAATTATGGAAAAAAATGTTCGATCATTACAATAGATTATATGATCAATACTAAAAGTATCAATAAATAAAGGAAAAATGGTCAGTTTATTATAGAGACTTTATCATTCGGGAAATAAGTTGTAACCGTATTACAGACAATATAATGAGGAAAAATCCAAAGAACATTGTAGGCCAATCTAAGCTGCTATCCGTATTTTCACTGTACATCGGTTTATACGTATTGTAATATCATTATGATAAGACCGTATACGGATCGTATCTGTTGACCTGGGATGGGAAAAAAGGAGAGATTGAAATTATTAATTGTAATAAGAAAACGGGTGTTAACCGCGTCTTGTCAAACTGTTTTTTTTTCTCTCGCTAATCAAAACTGTTTCTGCTATTGCTTCCGTTATTCAATATATGAAAAGAGTCCTCACTGTCTTCTACAACCCCGTCGTCTTTGAAAATTGTTAAAACTGAAGTGATGATGAGGAACATGATAATAAGTGCAGTGTCTAGTGTCTCATTCAGTCCAACTTTGATCCACCTAGTCTAATGCTTTGATTGGAAAAGAAGTTTTTGTTAAAGTATTCACTAGTCCCCAGATAGATGCTTCGATTGAAATACGCACTGTTGGACTATGTTAAAACAATTTTATTTCAGATATTGCGATCATGAACAAACAAAGCGAACTTTGAACACCACTACTTATTGACAATGTTCTCTGATAGTCTCTCTTCTATAGAAACTTATCCAGAACTGCCACTATGCTGTATTCATTTCTTTATCGAGGATTGTATCAGATAGAGTGCTATCTTTTCAACATAATTCACTGACAAGTGCTCCAAATAAATGTTTATCCAGGAACTACCGGATATTTTCACCAAAATGAACAGTTTTTCAATCCGACATTTGACTAGACTACTGCGAAACTTTGATATTGTCTAGACACATCTGAGATTGAATTGAATCCGAGACCGAATGATAAAAATAGACACATTTAACTTGTCATCGGCACGACACAGTCGAAAAACAGAATAAAATGAATTATACCATAAAAAAAAATGTGAATCTTTATATTCACTTTTTAATTTAATTTACTGATTTTATAAAATTCTGACTTACTTCTTTTTGAAAAACACAATTTAAAAGAATTATCGAAGCATGAAGATAAAAAAAAAATATTTTTCTTCTGTCAGAGAACAAACAGCAGAAGTCAAGTAACAAAAAGCAAGTATAGTGTTATTAATCTAACCTGGATGAGCGAAGATTTCTTAAGAGAAAATAAATATTCGTTTTTGCACTGGATTTAATGCCCTATTGCTATGTCACTGAGAAAAATTGAGCACGAAGAAGAGTTGTGTCTTTCAACGGTTCACTGTACCGACGTATCACATGCGTAATAGACAACTTACCCGATACACATTACAGATTGTGAAAGATACCTCGATAGTCTTGGTCCTTCTATTATTAGAAAATTTTAGGATGCCTCTCTTTTGTCATACACTATATCAAATACTTTACTCTACCTGTCTCATTCCTGTAAAACATAACAGTCATACTCGGGAGGCAAAGATCTATTGTATGATTAGTATGAAATACGATTGAATTTAAAATAGTCGCCCAATACGTTTCTTTTCCGCTCTTTATAATGCATCACAATTAACATCTGCCATGATCGATCCATATTAACTGTAGTTGACAGTTAATAAATCAAAACATAATTATAAATGGAATCTGTCTTTTGGCATGATTATACATATGCCATATGTCAAAAAATCATCTCTATGGTCTGACGATGACAACTTTTTATACTTGTGCATATTTTAATTATTTTCTTTAACATATGTCAAATACTATAATAGAAGTGAAAAGGCATATAGTTTATATTGTAAAAGCAAAACAAAGTATTTTTTGTCGTATCTTTTTTTCATTTGGTCATGTCAATGATTATATGAACATGTATTTGCGGAATAGTTGAAAAATTCATTCAGGGCAAAGGTTTTTTGTAGATTTCTTCAGTAGAAACGTTGTGTTGTCATTACTTTTTCTCTATAGATTTTAACAGTAAAGGAGCAAGAAACAAAGAAAAATATTCCTACATCAACCTTCGGACTGGTGAAAAAAAGTGAGTATTACTCAAATTCATGTCAGTTGACTACAAGTGATTCTAATGACAGAATTTCAATGGTTCATTTATGAATATTCTCGATCCGAGAATAACCAAGATCAATGGTTTTGTTTGGCGAATCAAGTTTGGTATTCTATTCAAGACGAAAACTCCCATTTATATTCTAACTACGTAGATGACAACTACACACGAACTTGGATAGTACTTTGAAGCGGTTTCTCATGGTCTATGGGAGGGGGGGGGGGCGGTCAGAATTTCTATCCCTATACACTTCAACAGTCTTTTCAGATTGTGTTTGACAAAATGACTCTTCAGCATGTTGTAGGTTTTCTTTCGAAATTAATTTTTAAAATAAGATTATTTCATTGAATAAAACTTTATCTAGCACATGTGATATACATTCTGGCAGCTTGATTATAAAGCTCGTTACTCTTTCACTCGGAAAATTCCATATTTAGTAAAAGAAAAATCGATTTTCCAGTTATTGACATGGTTGAATTGTCCGAAATTTCTACTGTCAAACGTACTATGATTTATCGATTTATAATAGTTTTTGACGATTTTATGGAGGATATAACAGAAAGCTCTATGGAAATATCATCATGAAAAATTTATTTTGAAAACTAAAACTATTTAAATAATGTAAGCCTTTCTACAGGATTTTCACAACAGAGAATGTAACCCCAGGCGCTCGTAGATGTGGGTGTAGGTGTGGATGTAGATATTCTATTCATCCACATTTCACACCCACATCCACACCCTCAAGCATACCCACACCTCTCACACTTTATGCTGATATCTATGCTTATCTAGCCTTTTTTACTCGCAAGGTTTCTGAAAAATACATTTTTTACTCGACTTTTCAACAAAACCTAGTCGTGCCCTTCAGGTCACGTTGATATTGACTTTTGAGTTTTGACTTGAAATTTTTCATAAATAATGTTCTCAATGGAACTAGTTCAACCTGAAAATTTCAAACTTTTTCGTGGCTTATGGGGATGTGAGTGTGGGTAAATATTTGTCTACTTTTCATTCACATCTATACCCTTTATTTGGTATCACTACTTTTGGCCAGTAGTGTATATCATAAAACTCAAAAAAAGAAAAAGAAAAAGATAGAAGAGATAATACATATTGTTTTATTTGTTACACAGAAGTAAAAATCTGCCGTCAATATACAACATAACATGTGTCTATAAAAAATAAATAGGTAAGAATTAAGAGATTCGTCAGCCGAGATTAACATACACATACACATACACACAATAATCTATAAAATGAAAAGAGTGATCATAACATATTTGAAAAGAGAGTATTGATGACTATCTGTTTACGTTCCAAAAGAGAACAATAACAAAAAGAAAGCAAACTGACAAGATATTACAACAATCAGATTCTCTCTCTCATTTCTCACATGCATGTTTACTGTAGAACAACAAGTAAAGTAACCATAAACTCATCTGAAGTTATTTTTAATCCACAACAACGTGATACTTTTACATGTGAACAATAAACTTATTGTAGAAAACTACTTGTATGTGTAAATATAGTTAAATGAAAACCACCAATGA